ATCTACGGTCGTGTCTTGGATACATCCTGTTACTTTTTTTTTTAATCGATTCTATTGGTATTTAAGAAAATGGCTCTAATGTTGGCATATGGATCTAAGATTGGGCCCATCGCTAAAAATCTGCTATATATCAATTTTATCTAGATGAACGCGTCACTGGAACGGTACTAATGGATATTTTTGTTCGCTATTGAAAATTTAGTCGATTGCTGAATGTATGCATGGGCCCAATTTAGGGGCATTTAGGCCAATATTACATCCATTTCCCCTATTTTATGAATCTTCCGTACTATTCCTTTGAAATCATCCCCAGAACTCTCATTAAATTATGTTTCTTGTCGAAGTCTCATAATTATGCTCTTGGAATTCACCTTTAAAATTATCTGTCATTTTCCTCACAATCCCCACACAATTCTCCTTAGAATGACGTAGGAATTTACCTTGAAGTATGTTTCTCAACTCCTTTTGAAGTTTTCTTAAATTACTTAAATTTACTTAAAAAAAACTTCCTTTCTTCTCCACAGAAATCCCTCCACATTCATCTACCACTTTATTAGGACTTCATCTCAGAATAATTTTGGAATTCTGCTCAGCACTTCTCCTTGCAAAATTATGTTGGAATCCTACTCAGTATTTTTTGACGTAGGACTACGTCTGTGATTTCTATATGGGGGTACACTTTGTGAAAACCGAAAATGGAACATGTAACAAAATTACGATAGATTTTGAACGTTAATAACTCAGCTGCCCCTGGACCAATTTCAATAATTTTATCACCAATCGATCAGAAATATTTCTACGCATCTGTTAAATAAAAGACTTCATCATTTTCAAAAGATCATTATTGAAAATTGCTATGATAATTAAAATTATTACCGATTGCCTGCAAAAAGCGATTTCCCTATCACAGATTCCGAAGTTAAATTCCATCCGATCTCACCAAACGGTGTTAATTCAATCGCCGCGTTGTGAGTGGTGTTCTCCAGTACACAACGAAAAGCTCCCCGCATGCAGCTAGCTATCAAGGCTGGCCTCAACCGCTGATCGGATTCAGTTCCAATCACCGTGTGTGGTGGTGTCCGGTCGTTGGCATCAGCAGCATCAGCAGTGCTTTCGGCGCGTGGCGTTGAACATTGTTCTCCAGTACACAACGAAAGGCGAGCTGCAGCCCACATGAGCATCCATAGAAGGAGGAAGAAGCCGCACCGCTATTGATCGGAATCAGTAGCTCTTCGTGAGCCGCTGTTGGCCATGTATGTCAAGTGCGTCATACTAAAGTGTATAAACAGAGAGAACCCCGCTCAAATTTCTATTCCTACACAAAATACAAGCTCCTGCTGCAGTTAACAAATAAGATTTATTATATGAGACCACGTAGTCCTACGTCACCATTGCGTACAACCGCATAGGGTTGTCTCTTGTAGAGTTTTTTTTTTCAAATCGACACTTTGATTCTTTTTAAATTTTAATTTCAATTCAAGTGTGATTCTACACTGAAAAAAGTTTTCACTTAGTTTCTATTAGGAACGCACATAATATTTTTTCCAATAACAAAAATAATGATTGTTATCTGGATATCACATAGCATCAAAAATTCTATGTGAACAAATATATAGATTTCATTGGACACATAACATTCATGTGATTTAGTGGTGCAATTTCCAATTATGGGATCAAATGAAAGTTATATGAAATTCACCTGGATTTTTTCCACTGGTTAAGTGATTATATGTGATTATAGTGTATATATGTTATACTCATGTTTGTATAGATAGGGTGTCGGCTACCCGGAAAAAAAACCTGGAACATCAGGGAATTTCAGAGAATTTTCTTTAAATTCAGGGAAATATTCCTTCATCTTTATTCATAGCTGCATTACAAACTATAATGATATCACCAATTATGTAGGAAAGTCAGGGTGGCCAGTACACCGGGAAATCGGGAAAATCAAAAACAGCTGGGAATTCGAAGTCACCGGAAAAAACTGAAGGAAAAGCCAGGAATTTCGAAGTCAAATCGGGGAAAAAATAGTATGTCTTCTCTTCGCCAAAAAGGTTTTCGACCTTGAAAACAATTCAGGACCATTGGACTGGCCTAGATTTTCTGGATACATTCACTTTAAAGAATTATTAAGTGAATCCTATATTTTTTCCAAAGCAATCTTGAGCATATTTTAGAATGAATTCTAGATATAACAGCATGGTATTTCGGAGAAAATGACCTAGGGAGTTTTGTTATAAGTTCTAAGAGAGTTTTGTCAAGAATTCCAAATCCATGTGTGAGTTCAGCTCTCTAGAAACTTCCTTGGCGATTGTGGAGATGATTCCAGAATTTAGAGGAGAATTTCAAGATAATGCTGAGCCAAATTTAAAGCCAATTCTGAGGTGAATTGCATGGGAATACTAAGGAAAAATTCTGTAAAGAATTCCAAGTCAATTGTGTGAGTTCTGCTCTCTAAAAAATTCAATGACGATTGTGAAGAGGTTTTCAAGATTCGAGAACAATACCAAGAGAATCGTATTTTAACTTTTTGTATAATTTTAAGGGCACAATTCCAAAGGAATTCCGCGAAGAGTTTTGAAGAAATTCCGAGGATAATTTCAAGGGTATCTAGAACATAATTTCTAGATAAGTTTAAGGAATATTCCAAGTGAATTTTTTGAAGAATTTAGAGGAGAATTTCAAGATAATGCTGAGCCAAATTTAAAGTAATTTCTGAGGTGAATTGCAGGAGAGTTTTAAGGAGTAGTTTTGTCAAGAATTCCAAGTCAATTGCGTGAGTTCAGCTCTCTAAAAATATTAATTGGCGATTGTGAAGAGGATTTTAGGATCCGTGGAAAATACCAAGAGAATCGTATGTTAACTTTTATTTTTATTTTTAAGGGTACAATTCCAATGCGATTCTGCGAAGAGTTCGAGTCCTAGGATAATTTCAAGGGCATCTAGAAAAAAATATTCTAGATAATTTTAAGGTAAATTCCAAGTGAATTTACCGAAGAATTTAGAGGAGAATTTCAAGATAATGCTGAGCCAAATTAAAGTCAATTCTGAGGTGAATTGCATGAGAATTCTAAGGAGAAGTTTTGTCAACAATTCCAAGTCAATTGTGTGAGTTCAATTATCTAGAAAATTCCATGGTGATTGTGGAGATGATTCCAGGATCTTTGAAAAATACCAAGAGAATCGTATGTTAACTTTATTTTATTTTTTAAGGGTATAATTCCAATAGGATTCTGCGATGAGTTTTTAAGAAATTCCGAGGATATTTTCTAAATCATCTCGAAAAAATATTCCAAATTTAATGACAATTCTGAGGTGAATTGCATGGGAATTCTAAGGTGAAGTTTTGTCTAGAATTCCAAGTCAATTGTGTGAGTTCAGCTCTTTAGAAAAATCTAAGGCAATTGTGAAGAGGATTCCAAGATCCGTGAACAATACCAAGTGAATCGTATTTTAACTTTTTATTTAATTTTAAGTGCACAATTCAAGTGGAATTCCGCGAAGAGTTGTAAAGAAATTCCGAGTATAATTTCAAGGGCATCTAGATAAGTTTACGGAAAATTCCATGTGAATTTTCTGAAGAATTTGGAGGAGAACTTCATGCTAATTCTGAGCCAAATTTAATGACAATTCTGAGGTGAATTGCATGGGAATTGTAAGGAGAATTCAAGTGAATAATTCTTCAATTATAACATAAGGACGAACTGTATGCATTTTTCGCAGAGAGAAACGGACTCCCAGAATTCACATTAGAAGATTTCTGAAAAGAACTCTGTGAAGGGAGATAATTTTAAAGGAAATGCTTGAGAATAATCAAATAAAATCCTGTTAAGTTTTGAGTTAATTTTCATAGACAAGACATTCAACGACGCAGAACCAAATTCAAGATCCAGAAAAAAATAGTGCTCTCATAATAATAAATGGGTCATTATTATGAGAGCACTATTTTTTTCTGGATCTTGAAGTGATCCAAGTGATCTTTTCAGCCTAATCGCATTCGCTTTTATGCTGAATTAAATGTATATCGCACAACCGGGAAAATGTCAAAAACTCCGGGACAAAACCGGGAATTGCTAATCGGAATTTGCGGGTCACCATGTAAAGTGGAACAGTGATTTTATTTAGAAGGCTTGGACTTGAATGAGCAATTTGAATCCAGGGAAAAGTTCCTGGGCAGGACATGGACCATTTCTTAAAGGCTCTGGGACGTACTTCAGTTTCAAGGTTTCGCACTTAGAACAAAAAAAAATAAGGTAGCGGACTTAGTTTTTTTTTATATTTAAATCAACAAGATTTAAAATCATTTGAGTTTTGGTGAATTTCGGGCTTATTAATATGTTTAATATTCTAAACCGGGAAAATTTCAAGGTTTGGTACTCAAGAGATTTTTGTAAAATTAGTTTTGTTTAAGATCCGCGGGTCATTAGAAATTTATCGGATCTCGAACTTGGAAACTGCTTATTTAAGATCTTGGAATATGAAAAAAAAAATAATCAAGGCCCAGAGTAAAACAAGCTTTCGAATCAAGATCCTGGATTAAAAAAAAAAACAAAATTACGTACTTTGGAATGTTAAAAAGGTTCCAGACATTGTAACATCTCGAGCTTCGAGCATTTTTGAAGATTTTCGAATTTGTGAAACATTTCAACCTCCCTAATTAAGAAGAATGTTCAATATCCTGAGTTCTATGTTCCCTTTTCTGATCCTGGACTTCGAAAAAAATATCATAATCCCAGAGATTCTCGGATAGGAAACATTTTCAAGATTATAAACTAAGACATTTAAGATGTGGCTTTTGATATCGGGGGGTTTTGAACCATTACTTAAAATATAATAAATCGAGAAATGAGAGATCAGCTTCTAAAACCTAAACCAAAATTTAAGTTGATGGATTTGAGAAAATAGATCGCGGATTTTAATTTTTTTTCGTGAGCATTACAATGGCAAACAATTTCGATCCTATCAAGATCCTAAGTTTGATAAGCTGTTATAAAGCTAGAGGTTGAATTCTCAAATAACTTAAAAAAAAATAGCATGATTGTAGATTTTAGACATCTACCATTTTGTTCAGATATATTTGAATCTACAGGGTGCGTTACGAATTTTTGCAGTAAATTTCAAATAGTAATTTCTCATGCTTGTGCATCATAATTTAGATATATTTGGCAGCACTGGATAGCTTATACTGTTAGGTGTAAGATTTAAACAAACAAGGTTGAGTAAACGTAAATATGTCGAAACAAGAGAGCAATCTGTCAGCCGTTGTCGCTTTGTTGCGCGCCGGAGTATGCATGAAAGACATAATTCGGTCGGTAAATGTGTCTGAAAGAACAGTGTATAATATTAAAAAAGGCTTGGGAAAGTGATAAGACGGAGCACCTGCTCGTACTGCTAATAAAGCACAGAAATGGCTTACGGAAAATATTTCGTAAATTTGGGAGGAGGAAATTTGGCCCCCAAGCAGTCCCGATATCAATCCGTTGGGTTATTTTGTATAGGGCGTCGTCCAACGGGATACCAATAGAACCCCTCACACCACACTTAAGTCGCTAAAAGCTAAAATCAAGGCAGTGATGACATCTATGGATCGAAACATTTTAAAACGTGCATACTGCAGTTTCCGGAAGCGTCTAACTACAGTCGTCGAAAGGGAAGGCAATTTTTTTTTAATAAATTTACTTACAACTTCCATATGTTGCGAAAGAAAATAAATCGCACAAAATTCATTGCTAGAATAACTAACTGGTGTATTTTTTCTCAAATATGCCATTTACTGCAAAAATTCATCACGCACCCTGTACTTATCAGTTTATCAGATTATCAGTGGAATTTCGGTTTGATCGTGGTTCGTTTTAGTTCATCCTTCGAGTGTGATAATATCATGAAAAATATTTCGGATATACCACGTTTTTCAGAATTGAGTTGAAAACTTATATTTTTCATTACTTTATTGAACCTGATATGTAATTATAACAAAAATATGCCATCCTTGTACAGCAAAACATCGTTTGTGAATGTTTACGATGGTTAATTGTTACTATTACACAGTGTCTCCGGGTATTTTCTTATCGAGCATCACTCCATTGTCGTATCGCATGTGCTCCTTTTTGCAGCTCTTGTTTTCGTTTTACCTTGTTGACTCCATGGTACCGGAAAAGATATAGATATATACATTATTAGCAATGCTGTGATATAACCACAACGGGATGGCCGTTCAGAATGGTTCAACCATGATTTGGACTTATAGCATTTTTGAACACCTCGATAAACCTTGCTACTTTACTTATAGCGAGTGCACAAAATCTAATCCCGATTGATTGATTAGATGCTCTTTATCCGAATAATCAAACGTTACTTATAGCGAGTGCACAAAATCTAATCCAGATTGATTGATTAGATGCTCTTTGTCCGAATAATTAAACGTGCCTTATGGCCGGAATAACCCCACCCAATTATTCACGCAACCTTCAAACCAAAGCAATTCGAAAGTCTTATCTTCCCCCTAGAACTGCATAGACCGTTACTCCACCCAATTCCCAGTTGATAGGTACACTGCAGTAACGAATTCATCCTACGTACCTCAATTTCGAGGACACCCCAACCCATCCAACAACGTTGCACACACGACTTCACCTTTGTGAACCCTTTGAATGACCCACCAACCAGAAAACAGGGCATGACCTGGCGGTAAATTTACGACTCGCCTTTGACAAAACTGCATATACATGGCACGGCGACTTGTCACCGATGGATTTTATCGCACAGAGCCCCCCTCTTTCCTACGTTTGCTTTAGATCATCATTGTCACCGACGACGACAACGACAACCGGTAGCTGCCGAGGGGACAAAATAAAACTTTTTACGACCCCTGATGCTCTGCTGTAGCTAGCTACCTTATGTGGCCCAAAAATGGCAACCAATTCTCACGACACTGCAATTTGAGAGTCGAACCGCCACCACCGCCACAGGTCGTGTTGTGTTGATTGTTGCTGTTTATAGAACACAAAGACGATGATGACAGATGATATGAGCTAATAAAACCTAAATCACGTCGCCGTCGTCGTCGTCGTACACGTACACAGGTCCAAAGCCTTTGCGCTCAATTGGTTCAAATCCATTCACTCGGGGTACTCAAGATTTTACTATCCGTTGTAGGTTGGCCGGGCTGCGAAAAGACAAGGGCTCTTCCGTGCTCGCCCAGGGTCTTTGTTTGGTCCGATGGTTCCGATCAAGCGAAGCCAATCGACGCACGACGGTGCGGTCTTGAAGTTAAGATGTGGGAAATTGGTTGGGGTTTTTTTTTTGGATTTACTGGTGTCTGATGATGGCGATTAATGTTAATCATTATTGCACAATCGTCCCAAAGCACAAGTATCGGACGGATCGGAAAAGGCAGTGGTGTCCCTGATGGGGTCTGTAATCCCGAAACGATCGGCCGTTGATGGCGTAATGGGGAATTTTTACGGGTTGAAAAGTGGTTCAACTGGTTCAGTAAAGTTGGATAAATCGGATCAAGAAATGAGCGTAGCAGGTCGGTCTTCGGTGGAAGTCTTGCTGGACATTTCTTTGGGGTTTGGAACAACTTCGCTCCAATATTAACATCTTTCAAATCTCGGTTGAAATTACGTATTTATTCTGATACCAAATTCGGAAATCAATTTACTCAGTTTCGTTAAAACCACGGCTACTCGTAGAATTAGCAACAATCTGCTGAATTTGGTGTAAGTGTTACTTCTATTCGAGCAACATTTGGTCGAATGAGTTACATTTAGTTTGTGGATAACCGTGGTTTTAACGAAACTGAGTAAACTGAAATTTTAAGCCCGATTATACAGCCGTATAAGAGAAACCATTCTAGTCCTCAGAGAGGTCATTGTAGGGCTCTGAGACAGTTCAGATACAGAATAGGATGTTACAAGTCTGTATCATAAGCCAGTTTATAAGCAGGGTCGTTTCAAACCTCTAAGAGAGACCGTTCTAATCTCTTAAGAAAGGTTACTCCAGGCATCAAAAAAGTCGTTTCAAGTCTTCAACACTGGAAGTAGAAACTCTGCTGAATCAATATCCAATAGAGAACCTCAGAAAAAAAAAAAAACTTATCGCAGGTCTACTGACATGAGGCACATTCAACATCGGTCTCTACACGGCCGATGAGATCGACTCAAATTGATTGGTTTTCCACTCAAATCGCTCCTTTTTGCTAATTTTCTCTCACTTTTATGTCGTGCAGAATGATCGCTCTCGGATATCTAGAACGATCGCTGTCAGTCGGCCGATTGAACCCGGTCGCCCTGGCGAATATTTGAGTTTCATTCACACAAAATCACACAAACGTAGGTTACTCATTGATTGAGTAAAATTTTCCTCGAATTGCCCCAACATTCTGATCGAATATGAGAAAAATCGATGAAAATTTTACTTAATCTAGGAGTTTTCTAATAGATTGAGCGAAATCTCTTTCGATTTCCCTCATATTCTGAAAGTTTTCCTGGAAAATTTTACTCAGTCTATGAGTAACCTACGTTTTTACAAATTTGAGTGAATGTAACTCAAATATTAGCCCGGGTGACCGGGCTCAATCGGCCGCCTGACAGTGATCCTTCTAGGTATTTGAGAGCGATCATTCTGCACGGCCGATGAGAGTCAACCACATAAAAGTGAGAGAAGAGCAGCAAAATGGAGCACATGCGATACAACAATGGAGTGATGCTCTTTAAAAAAATACCCGGAGTTGGGCACTGTCTATTTTCCGCGCTGGTGTTACAGTTTTATGAAACGCAACTAGGAACTCAAGATCATCGTACACATCTTTCGGGAGACTAGTAGTGATTCTGACTGGAGAAATACGAAGCGTTAGAGTGAAAATGTACAAGGGATTCCAAAAGAATTAGAGTTGTCAGAACCGTATCCTTTTTTCGAGTACCTGTAATACGTAATAGTACTGGTAAAATTTATCTGTAATCAGTGCAATCAGAAAAACTTAAAAATACTACATTTTGGGTACTGAATTTTCAGTTTAACGGTGGATCAAAACGTTGTTCAGTCTTTGAAGGTCAATTTTGACCTTCTGGATGGGATATAAATTTGTAACATCCAACGTTCAGCGCAAGCAAGCGATCTACTTAAACTAGCCCTGATGAAGATGCCAATCCTGGATCGAAACGAATTCTTCAAGATCTTTAAAAGTTTATGCATCTCTAAAGTTATTGGTACTGCCCTAAAGATCTTTAAACTACAACAAATTTTTCAAGATTTGCCCGAGTTTCTCAGAACATTTTAAAAGTTCCCGCAATTGCTCTGAAGTTCAAAGATCGGTCCAGAAGTTCCTACATTTTTCTAAAGTTTTCGAAACTTATGGTCATGAAACATCCCTTAAAATCTTTAATCTTCTCTGAACTTTTCGTTCCTCCATAAACATGTTCTCTAAATTATCAAGAAGATTTCAGGAGATCCTTAACGGTCCATGATTTATCCTGATTTTAAAAACCCCGCAATATTCCTGAAAGTTCCAGCAATTAAATTGAAGAAACTGCTTTGAAGCTCCTCTCTGATCATGATCAAATTATGAAAGTGCCTGAAAATCTAAAAAGCTCTCCAAACTTCTCAGCACTTCTCCGAAGATCTGAGAACCTGAAGTATTTGGAAATTCCAGTTACGTTAATTGAACTGCACCGATGTTCTTGAAGCTACCCGCAAGTTTGTGCAGTTCTCATAAAGTTCGACACCTGAAGATTTTCTCTGAAAATTTCTGGACTTCTGTCATGTTTCCTAAATATGTATGAGTTCTATGGACTTAAGTTTCTCGAAATTTTCCAAGAATTCATGGAGCTATCCTGAATTTATAGAAATTTTCCTATACAGATCTTTAAACTTCCCCAAAAGTCTGGACTTTCCTGAAGTTATTGGGACTGCCCTTAAGATCTCGGAGCTTGTCTTAAGCTCTCGAGAACTAGTTTGCCTGAGATTCTTAGAATGTCTATAAAGTATCTACAAGTTCTATGGACTTCTTGACTTCCCTGGCGAGCTTAGAACTTCTTAAAAGTTCCTGCAGTTTCCATAAAGCAGATGGAACCACCTTGAAGTTCTCATAGCTTCCCTGAAGTGCCCAACATTTAATTGAAGATCTCAGGTTTTACCTTCTGCTCAGATGTTACCCATAGTCTGTCCATGGAATTTCCCGAAATCCCAAGTATTTCCTTTCATTCCTCGGATCTTCTTTAAAGTTTCTAACAAAAATGTGGACCAGTCTGAAGTTCTCTAATGCATCTGGAAGTTCTCGTTATTCTTCTGATGATGTTTCTGGAACTACCCTGAAATCAATGAAGCGGTCCTGAACATCTTTTAACATCCCGACGTTTGTTTTTTTATAGTTCCTTGAATTTATAGAAACTTCTGCTTCAGAATTTTATTACTGAGTTCTTTTAACCACCCTGATGTTCCCTGAAAATAAATATCTTTTTTTAAATTCTTGAAATTTCTCGAAAAATGTTTGAAGCTCCCGCAATTTTCCTGTTATTCATGGAACTGTTTTACAGTTCTCAGAACAGCCAGTTCACGTAGCTTTCCTTATAATCTTCTGACGAATTCTTGCAATTGTCATGAATTTAATAGAACAGTTCTGGAAATTTTCATGAAATTTATTGGAAACGCCCTGGAACCATTTGAACCCTAATATTAAGGCTCTTAAAATATTCCTGAAGTTCTGGACGTTTTTGAAATTCTCAGAGCTAACCTAAAGTTATCGGAAGTTCCTTGGAGTTCTCGGAATTATCATGAAATTCTCAAAACTATGTTTCCTGCAATTTTTCTGATTTTAAGGAGAAGCTTAAAGACCAGAAAAACCGCGTATTGATGTTTCTAAAAATATTGGGAAAAGATTTAGATAACCTCAATAAACAGTTGTTTTTTTAAAATATTTTTCTAAACATAATTAACGTAATTTAATTTT